ATCGCACCAGCCTTCCTGGTATTAGAACTTTGTTCTTTAAGTCAAAATTTTATAAACCATGCAGGTTCGTGTCACTTCTCCTATCGTCTTTCTTGGAGGGGGCTGAACTTGTGCCACCTGTCTATCTTGCGAAGGAGATTCTTAGTATCATCCGTGTTTGTTCGTGGCTTGCTGGACGGAGTTATTTTTGTCTTTGTAATTGTTAGTGTGACTGACCAGAATGAACTTACTTACTTACTTACTTACTTACTCACTCATGGAGCTGAGCCCTTCTTGAGGAGAGCCAATTCTGCAGCTACTGAAGAATTTCCCAGCATTTTATGGAACCCGAAGGTTCATCACCATGTTCACAAGAGCCCTTCACTGGTCCCTATCCTGAGCCAGATCTATCCAATCCATACCATCCCATCCTATCTCTCTAAGATCCATTCTAATGTTGTCCACCCACCTACGCCTTGGTCTTCCCATCTGGCTTTCCCACCAATATCCTATATGCATTGCGTGTCTCCCCCATTCATGCTACATGACCTGCCCACCTCATCCTCCTTGACTTTATCATTCTAATTATACTTGGAGAAGAGTACAAGTTATGAAGCTCCTCATTATGCAGTTTTCTCCAACCTCCTGTCACTTCATCTCTCTTTGGTCCAAATATTCTCCTCAACACCCTGTTCTCAAGCACCCTCAGTCTATGTTCCTCCCTTAATGTCAGAGACCAAGTTTCACACCCATAAAGAACCACAGACAAAATTATAGTTTTGTAGGACCAGAATGAAACAAATAAAAAAATGTTTGTAACAGTTATGCACTAATTTTATTGCTTTTCGTATATTATTAAATGCAATCTTAATCTTGTTAACAAGAGAGTGTATCAGATTCTCGAGTTTCATTATACTACTGAATTTAATAACAAATGGAAACCTCATTATTATTACTTCCTCTACATGATATATAACACATTAATGTAACTGAAAAGCTATGTTCTGTGCAGCTTTCAGGTATAAGTTTTAAGCAAAGTTATGAAGCTGAGTACAAGTGTCTCTGATGGAAACAGAATTTTCTTTCAAGTTTACCCACCATCAGCTTTCCTAAACACAAGTATTCTATATATGTTACAGTTCAAATATCCATTGAATTTCAGTAAGGGAGTGTTGAATTGATGTAAATGAATTGTTCTTATTTTAAAGACACTGGTGAGAAACTTTCTCCCTATAAATAATGTTGCAACCTGATATCTTGTACTGCAGAGGTTCTTACTCCATTGTGTGTTTTCTGTTTTTGAACTGAGTTTAATATCATTTAACTCATTCCCTCCACATGGTTTTGAGCGAAGTGATATTAAACTCAGTTCGAAAACAGAAAACACATAACGGAGTAAGAACCTCTGCAGTACAATATATCAGTTTTCAACATTATTTATCTGGAGAAAGTTTCCCACCAGTGTCCGTAAAATATGAGCATTTCATTTACATCGATTATTAATTCTAGGTATAAGTGTGAACCAGTGATTTTTCAGAAGGGAGCAGTAAAAAGTGCTGGTGGTATAATAGCATACTTTCTTACCGACAGGGTAGGTGGTATGATAGAATACCTTCTTACCGACCGAGCCCTCGGCACTGGCGACAGGCATTTTTTATTTCAAAATATCTGCCTCCGGGCACCGTGGCAGCAGTGATGCTTCATGACGGCACTGCGGTTATGTTGCCCGCCAATAGCATTGAGTTGCATTCCCCTGTTCTAAACGCATACCGTGGCCTAAAAACAATACTGAGGGAGCCCGAGAAGGGCAGTCGATATATCGACACAGGAAACTTCACCTTTTTTCTATAAAGTTGATTGTCTTCTTTGATTCGCGTCGAGTAATTTGGTAAACTAAATGGGGTCAATTTTTTTTTACTATAACCCCATAAAATGGAGACAGCAATTGTACTTCTTTAACCCTTACTTTATGCATGCCGACACCAATTGAGGTTCCCATTACTATCTAAGGATTTCGTATTAACGTGACAAATTCTGAACTCCGGGTGGTAGGAACTTCTTGTCGCCTGTGACGGCATATATATTGGCAGGAACCCTGGTTCCTACCTCCAAGAAAACCATCTCACACAAAGATCAACCAGTTACATGTGTAGAGAAAAAAAAACAATATTTATTCTGGTAACTAGATGAAACCATAGCTGGGTTAATGAACGTGTGGCAGCTAACACCATCCATCAAATAGTTCCAAGGATGATGACACCCATGTAAATCCTGTATCCAATTGCCGCATACACTGTTCATCTGATTAATGAATAGAATTCACATCAGCGTTTTAAATTCAGAATGCTAAATTTTGCCCCCCACAGCGCATAATATTTTCTTTTCTACAAAATACCCCTTGAATGCACGGTAGATGCAAGAAATGGGCAAAAATTTTCAGTCAGAAGACTTAAAGGGAAGAGACTGGTGTAGGGACCAATGGCATGCTCACGTGACTACGGTAATACAAGGTGTGGCAATAAAGAACCCGGATTACTTTTATGACTCATTTCCGGCCACGTCATTGACGAAGAGGAGGGTAGGGCATTGACCCTTGGACTTCCCTCTACCGTCACACAAAGTTTCATTCACGTGCATCGGTTAGTCTGGCCGCGACCATTGTTAGAAGCGGATCGTGTTTCTGAGCTCCGTCGGAATAATGCTGAGTGCTAATGCAGAACA